TCGCGTTCTGTACTTTCTTACTCCGAATTCTATTCTTTATCTATATAAATCTCAAATCCGTCCCTGTATGGAATACTGTTGCTATATCTGTAGAGGATCTTCCAATGATGTCCTTTCTCTTTTAGACAAGGTGCAAAATGCATTGTAAACATAGTTGGACCTGTTTTGCACCTAACCTCCAACCATTATCACATCATCGTAATGTTGTTTCTCTTTCTCTTTTATATAAATAATATAATGGACACTTCTCAAAGAGCGTCTCTTGTACCATCTACTAAAATTCATTCTCTTGTTACTCGTCATTCAATTAAGTCTCATCCTTTTTCTGTGACTGTTCCTAAGTGCTCCAAAAACCCCTTTTCGTCTAGTTTTTTTCCTCGAACATCAGTTTTTTGGAATTTGCTTCCTTCATCTTGCTTTCCTGATTCATATAATTTGCAATCTTTTAAGTTGTCTCTCAATCGTTATCTTGCTCTATAAACTTTACCTTTTTTCTTCCAGTAACTTCTAACTCTAATAATGGTTGCTTGCAGCCTTGTTAAAAGTGAAGATGTTGAAAAAAATATATATATGTATATATGTATATATGTATATATATATATATATATATATATATATATATATATATATATATATATATATATATATATATATATATATATATATATGTTATAACCTTGAAAACTTTTTAAATAAATTAAATCAGAAAACAAATTAATTCTAAATTATTATTTTGTTTTATTAATCACGAGTTTTTGTTGAAGAATCATTAAAATATTTAGCGGCTGCTCTGGATGATGATGGAGATGATGATGACTCATCTGATCGAATCGACAAAACTGTTCACCCTACACCAACATTTGTTTCACCTTTACTAATAACACGTCAGACTGTTCCTATGCAAACACGAAAAAAACAAGAGACAACTAAAGTAAAAACTCTAACTTCAACACCAAACACTGTAACTAATGGGTATGGCCCCCCTGGAACTTCTGTTGCACCACAACTAAGTGACACGTTATCATAATATAAAGACGATTATTTAAGATGACAATTAAGGTGAAATTTTAAATGTTTTAATTGTTTATTTTTAAACAATATATTGTTCAAAAAAGTTAAATAAAAATTATTAATTTTTTAATTTAAAAATAATTTAAAAAAATAGTGATTATTACTGATAACTTATTTATTTATCTAATATATACTTAACGTTTGTTATATACTTTTTTAGTTTTGTTTGTTTAATATACATTTTATTTGATTTTAAAAATAGTTTTATGTTTTTTCGATTATGATTTTTTTACATTATTTTGTAGTCAAGATTTAATTTGTACTACGCAGTTTTTGAAGGGTTTGTACACGTAGTTTTTAAAGGGTTTGTAGTATGTAGTTTTTAAAGGCTTTTTACACGTAGTTTTTAAAATTTTTTAAACTTATTGATGTTGCAAAATTATTGTTCTTATTAATTTTTATCTAGACAATGGAACTTTCTTATGTAAAAGTTGTTTTTACTCAATTTTTTGTAAAGGTAACGAGTGTAAGCAGTTACACTCTAAACTCTCTCTAAATTCCATTTGTTACTTAGTTGTCTTATTTTTGAGCAACTGGAAAACCTTTTTTGATATAAGCTTTATTGTTTCTTTGTCCAAAGTCTTTTTTTTCCAGTTTTTTTCAGAGCCAACTATTTACATAGTCAGAAATATTTTTTTTTATATTTCAAGTTCCAAGCGAAATGGTTATCTGATTTCGCTGTTGTCAAATAGAGATAATTGTAATTTATACGTAATTTTATTACACGTGCAATCTCTGATTGTTTTGGCTTTTTGAAAGCAGTGGCCTTGTTTAACAAGGTAAAAATATCAAAGAATATTTCTGGGAAAATATATTGAAAGTCAATTTATCTGCAAATTTTTTAATAATTATATTATTTTTGTAATATTTATATTAATTTTGTCATAATTATTTTAATTTTGAAAAATTTTGAAGCCATAGATAATAGTTTTAAAGGTCTTTAGCAGTAAAAGTATTTTTAAAAAAGGTGCTTAAATATTTTATCTAGTAATCAACATGAGATGACCAGCAACGAAATATTTTAGCCAAGATTGCATGATTTTTTTTTTTTTTTTTTTTTTTTTTTAAGTTGATTTAGGTGCCCCAAGAAGTCCTTACGGTCTTATCACAGAGCACCGCGGAAGAGCATTTAGTAGGAAGTTCACGCCTCCTTCCCAACCGATATCGCAAAACTTGCTCAGAGGTGGGGTTTGAACCACGGATCTTACGTTTCTGAGGCAAGTGCACTACCACAGCGCTACGGCTGCAAATTGATCGATCTTGTCTTATCTAAATAATCTGTTTAAGCTATTGTGAATTCATGCTAATATTTTTATTATGGAATAATCGTGATTTTAATTAAAAAGCTTTTTATGTTTCACAAGAAAGAATTTGATAAGAGCTTAATTAATAATTGGTGACAATCAGAGCCGCCGAAAGCTTTCATGACGCTCTGGGCATAGCAGCAATTAGGCACCCCTATAAGCTTGCATATTTTGAATTAAAACCATGTACAATTATACAAGTTAATGACTTGTTTTTATTTATAATACCGTTACTTTACATCCATATTTTTATGAACTGCATCTGGATTAAAAAACACTTAAGCAAAACACATTCGCTAACATTTGATTAACATTCAGATTCTTTGAAATAAATATTAAAAACACTCTTTTCTTGCTTTTTTACTAGCACTGTTATTATTATGTCATCTTACAACAGAGTTATATCCAATTCATTTTCAACGTTTATGTCCGAACCACGCTCATGTTCTATAGTGGCCCTACAATCATTTTTATAAATCAATTTAGTTTACATAAAGGTTGGTCACCTGCTACAGGGGTAGTGTTGCATTAAAAGATTCAATTTTTCGAGAAGGGATAACCAGGCTTGCACACGAAAATCTTGTTGCAGTACTTAATCCACAACTGGAGATCTCTGACACCGAAATGACTTTTTAAGACAACCAATCGTTCGATTGCCAATTACTTTGACTTTGAGGTTGTTGGATATTAGTACTCCGAGATCTTGCTCAATGCATGCTGGAACTAAATAGCGTGTTACTATCAGTTTCAGCTTTGGTATTATCAATTAGCTTTTGCAACAACCAATTTACGTTACTTGACACTTCTCAACGTTAAAATTCACACGGCAGTTCTGCGACTAATTTACAGCACTGTCGATGTCCGCTTGCAGCTTTTCATAATCAGAGGAAAATTTACTGACATTGATAATGTGATGTTGCCATCATCGGCGTATAATTTGGTATGGTTATAAATTCAATCTGGTAAGTCATTCATGAAGAACAAAAATAACTTGTCACCTATTCCCAATTGGACGTTTATTCATCAATTATTAATTATTGTTGTTTATGAGCTAATGATACCAATAATCTAGTTTAATAGCAAAATGCTATACGCATGAATCTTATGAAGTCAAATGCCATACGCATGAATCTTATACTTCTATCTATACCATACCATGAATCTATACCATACGCATGAATCTTATACGCCTCAAATGCCATACGCATGAATCTTATGAAGAAGTCGTTAAGTGATACTGTGTTATATGCTTTGGCAAAGTTGATAAAAATTATATAAATCAGATCTCCACAATAAACTGCTTCCTTTAAAATGTTTTTTTTTTTTTTTCTTTAAAATGAAATTCGTAAAATTCATAAAATAAGACTGTTCTTTAAAACGATTCAATAGGGTAGAGCGGGGCTAGTTGATCAATTTTTACTAAATCTAACAGCAGTGCGTCAAATTTACATAATTTTTTTAATATTTGAAAGATAATTTAAGCTGCTAAAAAATTGTTTAGAAAAAAGTATAGTCTTTAATTTTTTTGAGAATATATTGCCTAAAGTTTGCTGCTCAACCTGTCCCAGCTGCAAGGTTTGCTGCTCAACCTGTCCCAGCGGGGTAATTAGAGCAATAGTGTAAGTTGAAAGATCAACAAATAAATTAATATGTATGGTACGAAACTTGGGTGATTCATCAATAAAACTTTCACTAACAGTAAACCTGTGTTTAGTTTACACACAGATGTTTAGTTTACACACAGATGCTGTTAGTGAAAAACATAAACTTTTTATTTTATACACTTTTATTTTATACACTTTAAGTAAAAAAAGAGAAAAAATTAAATTGTAAGAAAGTATCATAAAATATAAAAATATAGTTTTATACAACTATCTTGAACTTTGAAGCCCGATTTAAAAACTAGTTTTAAAAATATTAATAATGTACCGCTCTATTTTTTTCTCATCAAAGTTGTTTCTTTGTATTCTTTAGTTCAGTTTTTTTTTTTTTTTTTTTTTTTTTTCAAAACAGCTCAACTTACCCCTACTAGACAAGGTGACGCATTAGTTATATTTTAAAAAGAACAGTAAGACTTAAGAAAAAACAGTTAATTTTAATCAAAAGTCTGGTAAATTAGTAAATTATTAACACCTAAGTGACAGCAGATAAAAAAGTTTATAAGCATACAAGAGAAAAATAGCAAATAATCTTTTTTTTACTTTTTTGGTCCAAAATAGAAAAAGTGCCCGAGTATCAATAGCTTTTCAGTAATCTTTTGTTGCGCATTGTGTTAATATTCTAATTCCCTAACTTTCATCCATTAGATGTTTTTTCATGTGATGCGTAGTTTTTGAGATATTTTAACTGCCCAACTTGCAACTAGCCCCACTCTACCCTACCATATGAAATCGAATAAAAAAAGTTGAAATGGCAGTATATGTGATTTAGCATAATTTGATGCATCAGTAGAAAAAGCATTAAAAAATAAAAGGAACTTTTGTTTATCCTAAACAAAAAGAACTATTTCAGAACAATTTTCTAACGCACGCTTAAAAATCGTTGAAGATACAGAAAATAAATTATTCCGTTATAAAAAAAATCCGAAGATACAAAAAAGCAATCTATTACATCAAATCAATTAGTTGTTGTCATGAAACCAAGAGCGAATCAAATTGAAACTTTCAAACTTCAATAAGCAATTAATGGTTAATAATAATATTTTTAAAAAGTAAAAAAAAAGTGCGTTTTTAAAAGATATACTTTAGTACGTTAAGAAATCAAATAAAAGTATGGAAATGATAAAATGATAACAAATGAACAAGAGAAGAAAAATTATTTAACTAACCTCATTTTAAATATATTAAGTATATTTTATTTATTAATAAACACTGAATGTTGTTTCATAGTTAGCATCCTCTTATATATTTAAATTTTTTCAGTTAACTGACGATCATTTTTTATTGTTTTTTAACATTCTTTTTCAGGTATTTCCACTAATTTTTACCAGACGATTTATTAAAGAAAATTTATTTAGACAAAGAAAAATTTGTAACTTCATAATTTTTTAGATAAGACAAAGTATCTTTAGTGCTGCATTTTTTATTAATTTATAAACTGTTATTTATATTTGAATAAATACTCCACTTTGTGTTGTAAATTTGTGTTGAAAATCGTCGAAACTTGAACAATGTTTATCTTTAACTTTTATTATCTTGAACTGTTTCATTTGGTCCTTTAAATTCGTCTAATTGATTACTTTTTAAAAATCTCAGGTTTAGTTGAACCTCGGATAACTGGAACTTCATTAACTGGAACCATTTTTTCGTTTTTACCCTTATAGTTGTCCATAAATTACGTCACGCTATAAGAGGAAGGGGTTTAATAATTTTGTGATGACTCATACAAAATTTGCTTCTTAAGTGTTACGATTTTGTGACTAGGGGGGTGGGAAAGTCTTTTTTTTTTTTTTTTAAATTTGTTATTTAGGTGCCCCAAAAAGTCCTAACAGTCTTGTCACAGAGCACCGCGGAGGTACATTTAACCAGGAAGTTCACGCCTCCTTCCTTACCGTGACGCGAAATATGTCCAAAGCACGTGGATCTCCTGCTAATACAGCAAGCGCTCTAACCACTGCGCCAAGGCCGCACAAATTTTTAAATTTAAAAAAAATTGCGTAACTTGATTTATGAACGACCCTTTTCAGCGAAATTCTTTAGATAACTCCAAAAAAAAAGAAGTCGTTCCCAGTGACGGATCCAGGAATTTTTGATGGGGAAGGGAGGGTGGTGGGATGTTGAAATATTTTTGTATCACATTTGCGTTTTAGAAAAAGAAAAAAAAGAATAAAAAAAAGTACTCCATTTCTAAGATATTTTAGAACTTTTAAATTGTGGTGGGGAGGGAGGATGCATATCCAATGGATCCGTCATTGGTCATTCCATATAAAACATCAGAAACTGCAGCCTAGTAATTTCTTTATTTCTTTTTTTTTTGTTGTATCTTAAAAGAATAGATCGTTATCAGACGTAAAATTAATTCTATAATAAAAAAATTATTTTATAGTTTAATTAATTTCTAATTAAAATCAACCTTTTAAATGCAATTTTATTTCCAAATAATAAAGAAGTCATTGTGTCGCTAAACGTTTTTGAATGTTATTCTTTTGACTGTACTGCGTGAATAGAATCCGTCATTTCTTTGATTGAAACATGGTGTAAATTTAATGTATATAATAATGCATAATGGTGTAAATTTAATGTATATACTTATGCTTTGAATAAGAAAAAAATAACCTTAACTCAAACTAATATCTCATATTAGCCAAAGTTTGACTTTGAAATTTGTTTTAAAAGGAATTCGCTTTAGGCAAGCCATTTTTCTTGGTCCCTTTGAGGTTCGAGTTTTGACAAAACATCTTGTCCTATAAAAGAGTATAATATATTATTACAAGAAGTCAGATTAACATCAAACATGAGATATTGACGTTTAGATGAACCATACTTGGTGGTGGAAGTTTTATAATAATATCTTCAAGTTCCACATCATAAATATTGTCATCGACTCGTATTAATTTATTACAAAAATCTCCAGATTTTTGTAATAAATTCTATACCAACAACTATACCAACAACTATACCAACAACTATACCAACAACTTTTATAACTTCTGCTAGATGAAGTTTAGAGTATTCTGGCCAACTTGAAAATTAAAAAATTTCCAGAAACAATTTTACTTTCATTATCAAGTATATATACTCAAAAATCAATTTCATTAGAACTTTCATTATTTAAATACTTGTCTAAGTGTTTAAGTAATTTTAGGCTGACTAAGAATATATGTTTTGCCATTTTTTATTATATAATATGGTTATTAGACTAAATTATATAAAAATTTAAAAAATAATAATTATGGTCCTTATTTTTGAACTTTGAATCTAGTAATTACTTAAATTTCAGGTGTATCAGTTAAAATACACATTTTTTTCTTTATGTCTTTTTGTAGTAGTTCTTTTTCTTAACTTGGCGTTGGGGTGATGGTTGTATTATATCAGATCTGATTTAATACAACCATCCATCTGATATAATACAACCATCACCCCAACGCCAAGTTAAGAAAAAGAACTACTACAAAAAGACATAAAGAAAAAATGTGTATTTTACATCCGCAGATGAAACTATTAATGATATTTATGGTAAACTCACTGGAGCCATTTCCCCTAAAATAACAGACAATGTTGATGGTAAACTGGCAGGAGCAGTTTTAGAAATGCAACTTTCATTATTCAACATTGGCTTATCAATAATGTTTGCAGCTAAAAAGTCAATTTCAGTAAAAAATATTTTAAATCATGCTCCCTATTTGTATTTTGCTATTTAGAGCTAGAATTTGTAGTACGTGGAATGTGATAATTTCTTTTTCATCACAGTTCTAAATGTTTGATGGTTCAAAATGATAACATTCTAAAATATTTTAGAAATTTTTATATACAATTTTTACGGTTTTTCTATTGAATGCAGAATATCTATTAAGACTTTTAGGCTGTGGTTTCGATAGCGATAACAAAAGATATAATAATATCTTTTTATGAAAGATATTATTATATCTTTTGTGAAAATACTTGCAGCCATTATTTAACAGCACCTTTATTTTTCATTCATGAAATTTCAATTTTTTTATAATTTACTAAAGCATACTCAAATGCAAATAATATCTGCTTTAATGTTAGTTTGTAATGCATAATTGCAGCATCTGCCAAGTGTAGCCATTTCAGAGGGTTTTTTTTTCTCAATATATTAATATATAATTAACATAGTTGTATAGAGTTTAAAAAGACTTAAAAAATGAAAGATATTTCAACTTTAGAAATAAATTGGATCCAAAGTTATTACATTTTTTGTGCTGGAAAAACTGATGATTTTTTGACAAAACGCCTTGTCCTTAAGTATGGAATATTTGGCGTAAAATGGCACCTAAATGAAACAAAAAACATCAAAAATTAGGCGCAAAAAAATAAAAAAAAACAATGCGCAAAGGAATAAAAACATAATATACATAATTTATATATATATGTAAATTTTCAAACAAAGTTGATGTGTTTTGGTACTTAGAAAATCTTACCTTCAAAAACTACTTTTGAAAAAACGTGTAATATGGTTGGTTCCGTATGGTTCGAAAGAAGTTGAGTCAAACTAATTGATGCAAAAAACCTGGGTTCTAGCTTTATTATAAAAAAAAGATTTAAGAGAGTAAAGTTCAAGTTACGTGTTTTTTGTCAAAAATCAAATGTTTTTTGTTGCGCTCTGGAATCGCTACCGAGTGGTTTACCAAAATTAATTTTTCTTCTGTTAAGAATATTTTTTTGGTTTTGTACGTAAATATAAATATTTGTAACTGCTTTAACTGAAATATCAATGTTGATTCAACTGATTTATCAATGTTAATTCAACTGATATATCAATGTTGCAATTCCTTGCAGCAACAATTACCCTATTAATCCCAATTTACAGTAAGAAATAATCATCTAAACTTTTTCATAACTAAAAAAAGATGTTGGGTAATGTTTATTATGTCGTAGATAAATCAAACAACAATTTATGACAGTTTTAAAATCAAAATAAATATAAACTTTTAAAAGCCAAAACTTATTTCTCGTCGATCGATATGATTTATCCCAATTATGATCTTTTGCGGTAATAAGAATTTATATGGAGTATTATTTCAAATAGCACTTCAGGATTTTTTGAAATAATAATAGTAGACCGATAGGGTAGAGTGACCAAAGGTATTGAAATTGCAAACCAAACATTCAAGATGTTGGGTTTCTGTCAATTAAAATCTATTCGAGACAGGCCTACACCTTTTCAAGATGTAATTGAGAAAACAAAAATTGTAATTAAGAATCGTAAGATGTAATTGAGAAAACAAAAGTTGTAATTAAGAAACGTAAGATGTAATTGAGAAAACGTAAGTTGTAATTAAGAAACATAAGATGTAATTTAGAAAACGAAAATTGTAATTAAGAATCGTAACATGTAATTGAGAAAATGTAAGTTGTAATTAAGAAATAGAAAGATGTAATTGAGAACACGAAAATTTTAATTTAGATATCGCTTTAAAGGAGTAAGTGTAAAATGGCGCTTAAAAAAAATGGCGCGTAAAAAAATGGAGCGTATAAAATGACGCAAGATTTGTAGCGTAAATTTAATTTTTTAGGGAAAAATTTAGGGAAAAATTTATAATTTTTGGGCAAATGAATTTAACATAATAAACACTAAAAACATTTTAGGGAAAAATTTATAATTCAATTAAAAATTATAATTAAAAATTATATAATTAAAAATCACTTCATTGATCATTTAAGCACCAACTTGTACGTCTTCCATATTTAAAATAGTTGCATAGTGCGTGGTTGTGTGTTGTACCGCACGTGCACAATCTCCTCCCATTATAGTATTTTTCGCCTCAATTACAATTCGTTCTAAGTACTGCATGCGCTCTCCGCAATCCCGTCACCTAATACAGGTGGAATGCGAATTGCATTTTTAACGTTACTTTTAATTTTGGACCAGATCGTTTCCACCGGGTTCAACATTGGACTGTAAGGTCCCAAACGTAACAACTGAGCTGGTGAATTATCAAACACCCTTTGCAAACGAGCGTGACAAGGAGCATTATCTGTTACGACGACCAAATCCTCCAAACGATTCCCGGATGTAACCCACTGGTGAAACATAGCCAACATCCACTCGTTACAGGAATCTGCTTTAAATGATCCCCTGCGAGTTTCTATCATGACGACATTTGTAGTTGAAATAGCTGCGATCAAGTGTATGTTTAAACCTTTTGAAGCAGGTACTTTCATAATTGCTCTTTTTCCTTGTCTCGCGCGTCCTTGCGTTTTTCTACAAAAAAGGTTAAAATTTGTTTCATCCAACCAAACTATCTGACGACCATTTGTGATATGTTCGTTGATGTTTCTAACATATTCAGCTCTTTTTTGTTTGTTTTTATAACTGTTCATTGTAGAAGGCTCCTTGTCCACATTTTTTAACGAAAACAATCTACCTTCGAGGTAATTTGCTATTGTTGTTGTGC